GTTAGTCCAGGCAACTGGTTCTACTAACACTAGCTGAGAAATGTTGAGTGAAATATTCTTTTTTTACATCACCAATTATTACAACCATCATCAGCCTCATCATCACCAGTTCCATGACCAGGTTTTTGATTGGTTTGTTTTTTACAGATTATCAACCATTTGTGATTTAATAAAAGCTAAATATATATATGTAAGAAATTTTTTTTTTTTTGCAAGTGAATATTGCATTAACAATTTTTGAAGAATAGCAACGATTTTTCCAGATACAACTCCTACTATTTAACTCATAGCTGAGAGGAGGAAATGGATTCATACCTTTTCCAAGGACATTTGCACATAAATGAATGTGGCCAGGCATGGTCATAGGCTTGTTGCACAACAGAGAATTTGACCAATTCATCCAACATATTGACAGCTAGAGGGATATTTATTCATGCGTAGTGTGCCTTAAGCAAATAGACCTGGCGGCACCCATCCCTCTATAAGTCAAACCACAGCCAACATCTGCCAAATTGAAGGCTTTTTTGGTCATGGTTACATGGCTGTTAATTCCATTGGGGGAACCCTCCACCCTAGCAGTTGATTTCAGTCTAGGAAGCCCTCTGCCAATCAATGTCCTCCACAGCTATGGAGCCCCATTCTACCTCATTGTAGAAAGATGGCTGTTGATGATCCTATGAGAAGTTTCATCTGCTCACTGACAGGTTTTGCTTTTAATCCTACTGGGTGTCTTGCTACCTTTCTCACCAGAAAAGCTTTGTTTAATTGCCAATGACCAGACCATGTCGCAGGTAGTACTGACTTACACAGTATCAGTAACAATTATAGAGTGACTTGATATAAATTCTTACAAAGCATTTTTTAAAAGAATGGTTGCTGATTGTTATACTAGAACATACCTATTCTATTATTAATAGACTCTCCCACATATAATAAGTAGTAGTAGTAGTAGTAGCAGTCGCCAGAGGGAGCTCAGTGAGTTGGTGAGTCAGTCGATGTTGGATATTAAAGTATCAACCACCACAACTAGATTGCTGCGTCATTAACTATTATTTCAAGTTCCTAACATTTTGTACGTCGAACCTTTTTTAGGACCGACTTAGTGAAATACAAGCCTCCACTGTGAAACCACTCTTCAACACTGATTAATCAGGGTACATAACTCTTATATTGTTTAAAAATTAATAAACCTACCTCTTTGATGTTTGACATATACTGCACAGGGGTAATTGAATAGAAAACATAGACTCAGTAGTGGTGGTGGGGATTTGATTGGGGGCCTAGGGCAGTGATTTGTGACCCTCACTATCTTATCAACATTTGTTTTTTTCTACCTAGATTTATATACGTTACAAATTAAACTAAGCACAACTGACTATTAAAAGAAGGAAAAATTTTTGTGAATTTTGACATCATTCTGAGTTTTTTTTTGTCCAAATCCATGAATTTGTTTTGCTAAGTTTCAAAAAAACACAATATAAAATTCATTATTTTTTATACCTAATATTAAAAATGCTAAAATTATTGAACAATTTAACAAGAAAAATCTTGATATTAAAAATTGCTGCAAAGCATTGTTGATTTATTTACAATGAAATGATCTATTATGACATGTATCTGATTTGTATTTAGAGACATTGTATTTATTTTCAATTTTTCTAGTTGAATTGTTCATCTATACTGCATATGATCCATTATTGTGCATAATTAGGTTACAATAAAATTTGCATTTTATATGTTTGTTTGTTTGTTTGGGTTTTATGGCATATCAACCACTGTGGGTTATTTAATGCCAAATCCAGTTTATATGAATCTTAAATGCCTATTTTGTATGGAATAAAAAACGTATAGCTGGCAACATTATTATTTCAAAAACTTATAGCTGGCAACATTATTGTTTCAAAAATGTATAGCTGGCAACATTATGGTTTCAAAAACGTATAGCTGGCAACATTATTGTTTCAAAAACTTATAGCTGGCAACATTATGGTTTAAAGAACGTATAGCTGGCAACATTATTGTTTCAAAAACGAATAGCTGGCAACATTATTGCTTCAAAAACGTATAGTGGGCAACATTATTTTTTACAAAAAACTTATGGCTGGCAACATTATTGTTTCTTGTATTTTATATGAATACTACCTTATGAAAATTGAGATGTAGTAAAGTGCCCTCACCATATCATAGATTTGGGAGGTGGATACAAAACCCTTGATCCAGCCCTGTTTATACTTATAGATATACTGCAATCAAATATGGAAACAGAAATATAATTATGGTTGTTTTTAGAGTTGTTTTGATTGATATAGGACATGCGATCTGTGACTTACTTTTTCAATGCTTCAGCTGTGATGGCGTGTTTTTCCATCCACCCCAAGACAAGAGCATTCTTCCAGCAAGTTGAACAGGATATAAAACAGTCCAAATATTGTGAATAACAGACTGAAAAAAATAAATAAATAAATAGGAGGGTGGAATTTTAGTAAAAAAAAAAAGAAGTGTTTTCAGTTCTTGCCTTAAAAGAAGTTCAAGGGTTTTTGTCATTATGGTTGTCTTAAAAAAAAAAATCTCCATTTTGAATTTTTTGAAAAATTAAAAAATCTAGTTTATTCATTCACATCTTCTAAACATTAAATGTATATACTATATTTTCTGGTATATAAGACACATACTGAATATATAAAACACACACTGAATATATAAAACACATACTGAATATATAAGACACACACTGAATATATAAAACACACACTGAATATATAAGACACACACTGAATATATAAGACACACTGAATATATAAAACACATACTGAATATATAAAGCACATACTAAATATATAAAACACATACTGAATATATAAAACACATACTGAATATATAAGACACACACTGAATATATAAGACACACACTGAATATATAAGACACACTGAATATATAAAACACATACTGAATATATAAAGCACATACTAAATATATAAAACACATACTGAATATATAAAACACATACTGAATATATAAGACACACACTGAATATATAAGACACACTGAATATATAAAACACATACTAAATATATAAAACACACACTGAATATATAAAGCACATACTGAATATATAAAACACATACTGAATATATAAGACACACACTGAATATATAAAACACACACTGAATATATAAGACACACACTGAATATATAAGACACACTGAATATATAAAACACATACTGAATATATAAAGCACATACTAAATATATAAAACACATACTGAATATATAAAACACATACTGAATATATAAAACACACACTGAATATATAAGACACACACTGAATATATAAGACACACTGAATATATAAAACACATACTAAATATATAAAACACACAAATATATAAAACACATACTGAATATATAAAACACATACTGAATATATAAGACACACACTGAATATATAAAACACACACTGAATATATAAGACACACACTGAATATATATAGACACACTGAATATATAAAACACATACTGAATATATAAATATATATAAAACACATACTGAATATATAAAACACATACTGAATATATAATATAAAACACACACTGAATATATAAGACACACACTGAATATATAAGACACACTGAATATATAAAACACATACTGAATATAAAAATACTAAATATATAAAACACATACTGAATATATAAAACACATACTGAATATATAAGACACACACTGAATATATAAGACACACTGAATATATAAGACACACTGAATATATAAAACACATACTGAATATATAAAGCACATACTAAATATATAAAACACATACTGAATATATAAAACACATACTGAATATATAAGACACACACTGAATATATAAAACACACACTGAATATATAAAACACACTGAATATATAAGACACACTGAATATATAAAACACATACTGAATATATAAAATACACATACTAAATATATAAAAACACATACTGAATATATAAAACACATACTGAATATATAAGACACACACTGAATATATAAGACACACACTGAATATATAAGACACACTGAATATATAAAACACATACTAAATATATAAAACACATACTAAATATATAAGACACACACTGAATATATAAACACACATAATATATAAATAAATATAAAACACATACTGAATATATAAAAACACATACTAAATATATAAAAACACATACTGAATATATAAGACACACACTGAATATATAAAGCACATACTAAATATATAAAACACATACTGAATATATAAAACACATACTAAATATATAAAACACATACTGAATATATAAGACACACACTGAATATATAAAGCACATACTAAACATATAAAACACATACTGAATATATAAAACACATACTGAATATATAAAACACATACTGAATATATAAGACACACACTGAATATATAAAGCACATACTAAATATATAAAACACATACTGAATATATAAAACACATACTAAATATATAAAACACATACTGAATATATAAGACACATACTGAATATATAAAACACATACTGAATATGTAAGATTCACATAAAAATTTTTCTAAAAATGTGCAAATATTTCACTCTATCCAATTTGTTGGGATTATAAGAAGAGGATCATCTGAAAAACTCAAAATCAATGGCTATGACTGTTGGATGATTACAGTGAGTACCTGTTCCCTTTAAAAGGTACCCTCATAAACAATGCATCTCACTTGACTGATTGGTTTGTTTTTATGTTTATATCAATCTTTTGCAGGTTATTTAAAGCCAGACAATATTTTTAGATTTTAAGAATTTTTTTTGTTTTGAGATAACAATGATTTAATGACACAATTCATACTAATTAACCCATAGCTGGAGGGAAGAGATGGACTCATACCTTTCCCAAGAATATTAACATGTAAATGAATATAATGAACTTGGCTCTCTTATTTCAATTTCGAGCCATTATCGATTACACCACCCACACACACACGCAAGCATACAGCAACTGGTATTCCCAAGTGGTTACTCTTCTCAATACTGATCAGGCTAGAGGTTGCTTAATTTTGGTGATCTTATGAGAACTGGTTTTTCAATCTGACATGACTGTAAGCCTTTTATATCACCTGCACATCCAAGCTTACAGCAACTGGTATACCCAAGTGGTCACCCATCTAGGTACTGACCAAGTTCCACATTGCTTAACTTTGGTGATCAAACGTCAGCAAGTGTTTCAACATGATATGACTGTAAGCCTCATGCATCTCACAGGTAAGCAACTACATTATCATGAATTAAAGTTTTAAATTAAAAATAAGTAAATCCTTTTATACATTTTAAAACTTTAAATAATTAATTTCATAATTTATCAATTAATTTCATAATTTAAAATTAAGCTCACTTAAACTATTTATATATGATAATAAATGTCTATGTTCATTAATGATCAAGGAAGGTAAAAGTGTGGAATTAAAAATTTTAAAATAAGCAAATAAAAAATTACGAAGCACCACTTAACAGTTCTCAGACTAACCAATAGAAGATAGAAAACACAATTGTGAGATTTAGTCATTTGTTTAGGTTTTGGGACGTGGGTTTATCTGAGAATGTTTCAGAAAACCTTGTAAGTTGTGAGTCAACCATGGAAGATGTCAAAGCATCATGATAGAAAACTCAACATGTCTTAAAAAGAGAAACTGCATGAAAAAAACAAATGAAAATCAAATGGATAGAAACAGGAAATTAAGGCTTGTGGTAGAACTGCAAGAAATTGACTGAATGAAACAGAATTTACAATTGAAAAGGATTATAAAATTCCTTTGAGAAAGAAATCTAAAATAGAGTGAGGCAAAGGATGTGGATTTTTCCATTTAGAAGATGTCAAAGCATCAGGATAGAAAATGCTGTTGAAAAGAGAAAAGAAATGAAAATCAAATGGATAGAAACAGGAAATTAAGGCTTGTGGTAGAACTGTAAGAAATTGACTGAATGAAAAAGAATTTACAATTGAAATTAAACACTAACATATAAACAGAAGAAAACAAAGTTAGAGTGGGCTACAGAGAAACAATCACTGAGTGATGATTGGCTATTCATAGATAAGTCTTGAATCTGAATTCTGTAGGCAATGATTCTAGAACTTTAGTCTGATGCCATTCCAGTTAAATATTTAAAGTTGAGGGCTTGAAAAAAATAAGCAAATTTACCCCAAAAAATGATTATATGAGGTTGCATAGTAGATAAAGGACCAAAAAAGAAATGACAATCATTGCCTCAACAGTTAATGCACAGGAGTATAGTGAAAATTTGAAGACTTTTCTCTTTCTATTGATAGAAAATAAATTTGGTAATTTTTCAAGCTGATCATGCATCTTTTCCACAAAGTAAAATGTAAAAGCTTTTCTTTAGTAAAGGTATATCAACTCAATGACATCACCAGTAAAAAGTCTGGATTTTAAACTCATTGAAAATATACGGTGCAAAATTTTTTTAAATGGCCAATGACAAGATTCAATCTTGTAAAACTGATCTGTAACCCACTATTCAAGAACATTGTTTTTCCTCAGTCAACACATCAAAGAATTCTGGCAGTTATAAAATCAAAAAAGTACTAATTGTAATTTTTCTTGTTGATGATCCTATAATTTTTACATTGAGTGATTGAACTGGAAAAAATATGCTAGTAATTTAAATAATTGCATTTGTTTGAGGCATATTTCTTGAAGCTAGAATGTGCAGCTATTAAACAAAAATTAAAAGCAAATAAATTTTTTTAAAAACATATGAGCCATGACATTGCTCCATTCTACAAAACTGATCTATCAGTTGCTATTCAAGAAATCTGGAACCAATTTGATTGAGAATATTGTTTCTTATTAGTGTAGGCCTTGTCTCAAAGAATTTAGGTTGCCTTAAAAGACCTGAGAAGGAGCAAAAACTTTTCTTTAGGAAGGGCATATCAACACAATGACATGACTAACAAAGAGTCCTGATGTCATTTCTCTTCTCCATTTATGAGAGAAATTATTTTAAATTGGTTCATGAACAGGCTCCATTATTCAAAAGTTGGTCAATCAGCTGCTATTCAAGAAAGTTGGAACCATCTTGAATGAAAATATAACTTTTCCTTAGTGTAGTTCCTGCCTCAAAGAATTCAGGTTGCCATAAACGCCTGAGGAGAAGCAACAAGCTTTCTTCAGAAAAGGCATGTCATGGCCCCTAAAGAGTACAGTTCTCAATTCTTTTGTCAGTTTGTGGTGACATTTTTTAAAATTGGTTTATGACAAGGTTCTATTATTAAAAAGTTGATCTATCAACAGCTATTTAAGAAAGTAGGAACCATAATTTAAATATCAGAGGACAGAAAGTGTAACACTGAGATCTGAAGAGATATTAGGATGGCCAAAAATGCATTCCAAAATCTAAGCAGAGTATTAAGAGACAGGAAAATTTTGTTAAAAAAAAAGAAAATAGTACTGAACTATTATATGATATCTGTCCTTGTGTATGGCAGTGGAAGAGACCCAAAGCAACAGATATGTAGTTCTACAGAAGAATGCACAGAATACAATGAACCAAACAAGGTTTTGGAGAGAATGGAAACAAAAAGGAAACTTATACTTAACATCAGGAAGAGGAAGTTGAAATTTCTGGGACACATAATGAAGAAAGAGGACTTGGAAAATCTGATACTCACAGGACAGAGAGAAAGAGGGACAGGGGAAAGCAACATGTGACATACTTAATGGGCTTGAGGAAATTTTAGATGGCAAAACAGGGAAAAATAGCAAAAAAACTTATTAAGAGTTACAAAGGACAGGAAGATGTGGAGAGCCATGATTGCCTATGTCCTAAAGGGACATGGCACATAAAAGAAGTTCCTGCCTCAAAGAATTCAGGCCATCATAAAAGCTCAAGAAGGTAACAACAAAGTACAAACTGTTATTTTCAGGGGGGTTTTTTTTTTTGTCATGGATTCCATAATTTTTATCTTAATTTGATCTGGAAAAATTATCCCATTAGTTAAAATAATTCCATTTAATTTGTTGGCAGTATGTTTTATCAAAGCAGAAAGTTATAAAAGATTATTTTTCAACATATCTGGGATTTGTCTATTTTTTGTGTTGTAAAAAAACTGAATGGACATCTTCTGCTCATGTAAATAAATGTCAAAACAGAGTTTAGGAAAGATAGCAAAATGACAAAATTTACCCTATTCCTACAAAGGACAGGAAGTTGTGGAGAGCCAGACTGCCAATTTCATACAGGGTCATGACACAAAGAAGAAAAAATAGAACTTAAATATCTGTTTATATTTCTGAAATGAGGTATTGTAACTACTTACATTATTTACATTGTTCAAATTGTTGTCCTCATCTTTGTTGTCATATCCACAATGTTTCGGCCATTGTATGCTCAGACCTTCTTCAGGTGATATACATTGGTGGATGAAATAAAGGGTTTGTTTCAAAATTCCAACATATATCACCTGAAGAAGCATACAACAGCCAAAATTTTGTGAATATGACAACAAAATAAGGAGAATAGTTCAAACAATGTAAATAGTTTAAATAAGAACTTAAATGATTGTATTTTTCTGTAATTAAAAGTGAAAGAATCATTTCCTGTACAGTCACCAAAGTTAAGCAACATCTAGCCTGGTCAATACCAGGTGCTGTAAGATTAGATGTACAGGTAATATAATAGATAATGGCTCAAAATAGTTAATCAGAGAGCAGAGTTACAATTCCCATTGGATTCGTTATATTTACTTACACACAAATACCCTTGGGAAAGGTATGAATTCATCTCTTCTCTTCCCAGTTATGGGTTAATTTAAAAAATTTATATCACTAAACTATTATTATCAACCCACCAAAAAATTTGTACAATCTAAAAATATTAAAAATCAGCAAAGGGTTGATAAGCCATAAAAAAGATGAATCAATTAATTTTACATATTTAGTTGTGTTAGTCTGTTGTTAGGAAAGCAGATTGTTAAAAATATGTCTATTCAAAGGTTAACTTTTTGGTTATTGATCTCTGTTATTTTGCCCTCCTTTTGTATCTATAATACAAGTAGAGACAAAAAATACTATGAAATAAAAATAAAAAAATGTTAAAAACATTTGTAGTTCGGTTATTGAAGAATGAAAAAAAAAAAAGTCAAGTTTAAAATTGAAAGCAAGTAGATAAATACAACCAAAGATTTTTTTTAAAACAAATTTTTGGCTTTCTGGTTGAATGTACAATTAAATTTAGACATTAAAAATAGGGTTTTATCTTTTTTCCTTTCTGATGGGAAAAAGAGAGGTAAAAATATAAGCTTAGATGGTCAGTTTTTATAAACAAATCCTTTTTTTTGTTTGTTTTTTTTTTTACATATATTTTTTTTGTTTCTTTATATTTTTGTTGTCTTTTTATGAATTTTTTTTATTTTCTGATTTTTTGCCAACTTTTCAGTTCTTTCTCTCTTATTTATCTCCCTTCTTTTAAGTCTTTTTCTTTTTCTCTTCTTATCATTTCATTCCTTCACTTTCTCTTTATCATTTGTTGTCCTGATGATACAACTAAAGTGGATGTATCTTGAAATAAGCCTCAGCTTGTTCCCAGTATTTTTGTTAGTCTACAGACTTCAGAGATATTTTTAAATATTAAAGTTCACTCAATACAAGTTTGGTTGGTTTGACTTTTCTTTATGTAAATTCTGTTTCATTCACTCAACTTCTTACAGTTCTTTCCCAAACATTGATTCCTAGTTCTGTCCATTTTTTTTTGTATTTTTCTCTTTTGAAAACATATTGAGTTTTCTATGGTGATGCATTCAGATCTTCTGTATTTTAGAAATACTGTATATATTCATGTATAAGTCGAATTCATGTAGAATGTGACCCCAGAAATTTTTTGGATGAATTTTAAACCCTCCAGAAAATTAACCTGTATATAATGCAACCAGTCACTGAAAATGCATGATTTTTAACCTCTTAAAAAAAAAATTACCTGTGTATAGTGCGACTACGCTATTTTATTACATGAAAACCTGATCATAAAAACTCGCACTATACCTATGTATATATGGTAACTGAAATGGAAAAATCAACATCCTTTGTCACACTCTGTTTTAGATTTCCTTTGCATAGGAATTTTATAATCCTTTTCAATGTTTCAAGTGACAACTCTCTTGTTGGAGGCATATTGCCTTTCAATTAGCCAAGTCCAATGGTCCATTAAGATCTGCAAGCATTCTTAACTG